CCCCCCCCCCCCCGACCGCAGGAATGCGCGGCTCCGAATACCGCGTGCCGGATGAGTCTTAGCTGCGGTCGCTCATTACGCAGCTTTAACGGAAGCGATGGCGGACGAGAAAGGGAGAGACAGGCGGGGACCGAGGCAAAATCGGTATACCGACCGACCGGTAGCAACGCAGTTGACTCGTGGAGCTTTTAATCTCGAAAATCTTTAGGACCTTCGGGCGACCAAAGGAAAACTTTCGCAGTCCGTTCGGTACTCACGACCGGCCGAACGACCGCGCTTCCCTTCGCTTTTCCCTCTTCTCTTTGCCCAGCGACTTCCGCAAACATCACTCGCAAATCTCTATGTAGTGCAAAGAGAGCATTGCCACTCGAACTTCTCGGATTTACCGACGAATTAGGGATCTGTATATGGTGTAATCTGCCACGAAAAAATCGGCTGCGAATGGAGAAAAAAAGACAAAATGGAAAGAAATTGAAGTATCGTTGCGTTAAAGACATGTAGATACGTCATTTAACCCGTCAAGTTCAAAAGGCGATTTAAATAGCAGTCGATATTTTATGAAGTTAAAAACAGACACGTTTGTTCTAAGTAAAGACTATATTGATATCTTCGGAAAGACATACAACGGGAGCTTAATACAACGGGACATAGTCGCACGGAGTTTCGTGCAACTTCGTTATGTGCGCGCATGTACGACGGGTTACACGTCAAATATGCGTGCAAATTGGATCAGCAGATCGGTTTGAGAAGCCCGTCGAAATTAATATCCGTTCCGTTAGTTACCAGGGATCCGATACGAAGGGCTTAGAATGCATGATCGCTTCGTGGTGTAGACGCCTGCCCGCAAGTACAGATTAGATCAATGCGATGTGTTGTGCTTGAACACAGTATATACGCGGGGTATTGTACATGTATCGAGCCTTAGTGCAGCATATTCACAACGTTATCAATCAACACGATAACCGGATGACGAATCTTACGAACGGAGTCTCAGTGCGTGCCTCAACTCTCAACGGTCATCGATATTTCAAGTGACAAGAACTGTTTGAGAAATCCGAGTATCTTATCGCGTATGAAGACGATCAAATAACGACTACGCGTCAAGGATGGAAGTCCGCGGTGTCCCGTACAACGTCCGCGTGCACGTATCTCGCAATCGGAATTTACGTCATACTCCAAACATCGTCGCGCAAAGTAAGATTGTGGGCGCATTCGTTTCACGGAATAGCTCGCAACAATTGTCAGTTTTCCTTCAGCATTCGCGGAACGCACGGCGACGAAATTAGCCGACGATAACTCCCGAAACGAGTGTCGCAAATCGCGCTACCATCAGTTGCGGGTACGCCGCGCTTCACGAAACCCCAAAACTTCGTGCCAAATATTCGCGCGAACGCGAAACCGGCATTCCGCGTATACACACACACACACACACACACACACGTGCGCACATCCCGCCGGAAGAGCGACGCACTACAAGGGACAATAACCGCGCCATTGTAATGAAAATTCCGCCATTGGCGCGACAGGAAAACAGACCGGCGGAGTCCGGCCGCAAATCCTCCAAAAAGTTGCCCAGAAAATGCTACGTTCGTAGAGAGAGAGACCACTCCGGAACGCGTAGGTTACTCGCGTGTGTGCACGTGTGCGTCCGTGTGCGCATGTGTATGTGTGTGTGACGCGCTCGTAAGCGGCGCGTCTCCCCAGCATGCGGTCTCTTGCTTATACGTAACACACGCGAGAGCCGGCACGCACCGGCGATGTGCTCTCCGCACTCGGCTTCCACCAGCCCAAGTCAGCCAGCAAGCCAGCCAGCCAGCGAACCAAACCAGCCGAGCCAACCAAGCAGGCAACCGTCCGACCAACCAACCGACCATTCCACATTCCATTCGACGGTTCTCTCTCCCCCGGCACCATAATGAAGTCAGCCCGGCGTTCTAAGCCCCGGTAATATCGCGTGGCAGGGCACTCCCCGAGATAATATTGGTGATGTATGCTAACGGGCATTTCGTTGCCCCGGGTACGTACGTTTTTACGTTCCACTCGTACCGTCCGTTCTCTTAAACGATTTAGCGCGAAGCGAGAAAAGAGACGAGATAAAGAGAGGGGTCAGCATCCCCCAAGAAAAACGCCGGGGAATTTAATCCCTCGTGTATATCGGAGGAAAGTGTTTTTCGCACATATCACAAACGAGCCGTAAACCATCGGCGGTTTTGTCAATTCTCGGCCCGACGGCGGTCACAATCTTAAATCGATCGAGGTAACGAAGAATAATTAAAATTTACACCCTTCGCGAATCATTTGAGGAAATTAATGCCGTTAGTAAAATTCGTAATTTCGAAAAAAAAAAGACGAGTAGAGTTCCCCGTGATTAATTTCATGTAAAGTCCTGCAAAAATACGCTGATTGTATTTCATTAAACGTATATAGGTGTGAGCGATTGAGTTTGCACGTTCGCATTTGTACTGCAATTTGTAAATGGCTGGTCGGCGCGATGAAACGATCCCGGAAGTCACAATATTTAATTTGGAGCATTGCAAATTAATCACGATCGATATCCTGATATAAAAGTTGCACGGCAATTGTCCATCGGTTGTCGGGAATAAAATCGCTGTTACAATCGTTGTTATGAATAAAAAAACAGGCGGCAAATAGTGCAAATAAAAAACGCACTCTGTTGTCAGATAAAATCTCGACAAATGCTTACGCTATTAATTATTACCTGATTTACATTTCGAAATATCACAATAACGGTGCAAAACTAACTTTTACGCTCTGTATATATCTCTTCCGGCTGACATCAATATTGCGACCGTAACAAACATTGCGTAATATATTCTGACGCGGATTACGACTATCGTGTCGTTCGGAATTTCCCGCATGTATAATTATTCTCCCAAATCGTGTGGGCGCGAGGCACGGATTACATACGCTTACTATCGTCGGACGTCAACATTCGACGGTCGATGAGAAAATGAAAAATCACGATACCACGTGGCATCCGCTATCGCCTCGCTCTTCCGTTTCCGCTTCCGCCCGAGCCTGGCCTACCTAAACAAAATGAGCCGAGGCTCGGCTCGAGTATCGTTCACGCAAATATTGCCGAACGTTACTTCGTGTGCTTGTTAACGATAGGTATCTACCAATAATCACACGACGATCCTACGATCATTGAGAAAAAAAACGACCGAGACCGACGTAGCACTTTTTACGACACGTCACTGATGAATGATGATTCAGAATAACGGGAGCATTTAAGAATATCTGACCTTTGTGGTGCCTGAGATGAGAACGTCCGCAGCACGGTTGCTCGAAATACGCGTGTCCGGGGTGGGCACCGGCGGGCCTGCTGGCCGCGCTGGCACCCAGTAGTTGTCCCAAGACAGCTGCGAGAACAGCTGCCCTAATCATCGTTGTCATGGCGTCCGGTAGTAGCCTCTGCCTCTGCATGGTCACAGGAAAATAAAAACACTTTTTCACTATCCTTCGCGCTCTTTCTTTCTTTCACTCTTTTCCCTCGATCTGTCGAGATGCAGTCCCCGCGGTCTGTTCTACCTCCGCCAATTTCGGAGCATTTCGCGCACGACAGCTGTCACTACGACACGTACGAAATCGGGCCCCGACGAAGCTTACAAAAGACCGCGTGGGCCGCGATGCTCTGGCCTTGAGTAGAAGGAGGTAGAGTCTCCGGCCGCAGCGTGGTTGTTGCCCTTTGCCGCTGGCAACGACAACGACGGCCGTTCACCGGTGTGTAAAGCGTCTCTCTTCCTCTCTTTCTCTCTCCCTCGTCGATTCACTCGTCGTCCTCTCAGGTACCTCCAAGATAGAAACTCGACCGCGTGTTGCTCCGTTCAGCTCTCTCTCTCTCTCCCCTCCTCACAGCTTCTCTCCTCGCTTCTTCTTCTTCTTCCGCACTGCTTCAGAGGACAAAGGAATTCTCTTTCCTTCGCCTTTTACCCTCTGCATACAATTCGGTGCCCTTAAGTCGCAGGTAAGTCCTTAGAGAACGATGAAAGATTCTCTCATTTACGCAATCGCAGACTCTACAAGATTTCCTCTTATTTCCCTGAATATCTGGATCAATATTATCTGCGAATTAGCCATTTAACCATTTCTTATCTCCCATCAATGACATTCAAGGCGCACTCGTTCCACGTTGTTATTGTTACGACGCTTCTTGGCAAGGAATACAAACACTGCGGATATCCAAATCGGAGGCGTCGTGTGCGAGAGTTACCAACTGAGAAAATCTTGGTTAACTAAATATAAAGAACGAGACGCGTACGATGGTCACATCTGTTGCTCGGAGTCGACGGAGCTGCGATCTCGGATTCCACAGAGATGCACGTTCCCTATCGCGCGTACATCCTCGCGGTGTTCGGAGAGCAGACGCGATGCGTTGGCGACACACGTTTGTGCATCCGTCACAACATGATCGAGCCGTTGGTTAAACGCCAAAGACAAAAAGGACGCGCGTCGCGAAGACCGAACTGAGTTTACTTGAGCGGTGATTGCGAACGACGATTGCGTAGACCTCCCTCGTTGGAGGCCGCGGCACGACTGTTACCCTCTGACGCGCGTTGCCGCGTTCACGTCGTGCTCGGCGCCGCTCGGCCAACGTCGGCTCCACTCGGTCGGAGCTGCTCCAAAGTCGTGCCGCACGACTCCTATGATCCATCCACGCCGCGCCGCACCGGCCGCTCTCTCTCTTCGCAATCCGCGTTACGTACTCGCTCGCCACGAAGAGGCGAGGAAGCATCAGCCCTCGATATTTCTCGTAACCCTGTGGCGCGCCACCCGCTCCTTTATGGCGGCTATGAAAAATTTTTAGGCCGCGCGACAGAGCACGGCCGGAGGGAGAAAGATGTTCCAAGTCGGACTTTACGGCACTTTCGCAGCGGCACCGTTTGAATTATGAAGAAGCTCCGCCCTTTTTCCCTTTTTTTTTCGGGGACGTTCAAACGAAACGCACCGTCTTACTTGCCGTACCTTTCAACAAAGCCGATAAGCTTCTTCGATTCGCGGCAAATCTTCTGGCGGATTTCTCACGCGATTATCGAGCTCCTTGCTCCGCTTATCAATGAGCGCACGATATTAATAAAAAATATGTCAGATTCGTATAAAAAAAAACGCGGTACTAAAATTGTCGTTATACATGAAATTTATGAAAGTAGTTATTAATTTATACTGTATCTATACAAGATAATTTATAAATGTTATAAAATATTTAAGGAGAATAAAAAACCTTGGCTTTAGCAAATTAAATTAAATTTCCGCTTATTTAAATATTTGAATATATATAAATTTCTAATGTCTGTTTGAATGTATATTCTAATGTCTGTTCATTTATTAATCTTAGATTTTACGAATGTCACAGTCAAGTTTGCTTTTGCAAAACTATAACGTAATAAATAACATAATAAATATAACTAATTTTATAAAGAAATCAAGAAATTTTATTATATGATAGAAGAAAGTCAATAACATGAATAGAGATATGTGTGAAACTCAATGATACTTCAAAAATAAAAGAAAGATTAATAATTAAGCCTCGATATCCATAATATAATCGAAACACATTTCGGTTTGATAGTTGACGTAAACGAACGCTAATTGAAGTAAAATGGTTAACATGATTATGCCGACTAAATCATTTGGTTAGCGAAAATTCAGTTAGCGGTCTACTGAGTGCATGCAAATGTAATTACGATGCGAAAGCGAAATCTTGTTATTCTAGGTGACTATTCATATTATTTGTACGAACTGAGCGAGATGAAAAACGCCAGATGTGATTGTCAAATTATCATTTTTACTGCCGCATATCGTCTATATACTTTCAATGTCAGATCTTTTATTGCGAAAAATATGTACGATCGGCGAACAAGCGCTAAATGTCGTTTCCTGTCTCGGACGCGAAACTAGAAAAAAAAAAATAATAATCACGCCGGGTTATCAAAATTCACTTTGCAGCTGCATTGTATCGCTCCACCATCCGCGTTACAAAATCAATTCGCATAGACGTGCCGTAGAGAATTTCTGAGAGGTCGAGATAGACGTTCGACGCCACCGACGTTCGCTACATCATGCGCACCGATGCATTGCAGCTCCGAAGGATGCCGCCGCGAGAACGAAGTCAAGCGGGGTGTATGAATAAGTCGATATGCTAATGCGAAAATCCTGCGAAGTTAGCTGAGCCCAGGCTGAGCTGCAAAGAAAGTTGCTCGGCATCCAGGCCACGGTACAAAGTGTCTCACGGTAACGCGGTAGGGGAGACAATTTTGTAGAACCCCCCCCGTAGAACACAGCGGTACCACGGTATTACGGCCTTAGTGGGTACAGGCCACTTTCCTTTGTTGCCTACAGGATGAGACTAGCGGCGGTGCAGTCCACGGAGGTAAGGGAAGTCGTAAGAATTTTAGAACAAAGGGAAAACCAGTCGAGGGAGGGGGGGGGGGAGCCGTAGTAGAAGCCGTGGCTTTTCTTAACATTCTCTCTCTCTCTCTCTCTCTCTCTCTCTCTCTCTCGTGATACGAGAGGGTCGGTCGGTCGGGTGCCGACCAACAAATCCACCGGCCGTTCTATTCCATTTCATTGAAATAGTTTAGAATTGCATGAGGCTACTCGGTCGTCCTCTCTTGGCCGTCGTTTGCGCCGCTTCTTACGGCTGCCCTTACACTTCGCCGCCTTTTCGGCGAGAATGCGTAAAAGAGCGGTGAGAGCGGGCAAATCGCCGGAAAAACCGTAAACTGCATCCCGCCGGTATACCGTCCGCGGCGTTCAACGTTTGAGATATATAGAGCGTCGGTGCAGACGACACGAGCAGGCGCGCATGTGTCTACGAAAATCGCGTCTCTGTCGCGGAACACTCGGAGGAGTAAGAACTGGTTCCGCGGTGGATGCGCTAAAGAAACTGCGAGACGTCTGATGCGTTTTATGGAAAATTCTATAAGGTCGCGTGAATTCTATGACAAATGTCTGTTCGCTCGCGACATCGGAATTGCACATTCCGCACGTCTCAAAGTAACAATTCGATAAAGGGCTGTCGTGTGTCCAATATAGTACGAAGAGAAATATCAATATGCAAGGAGAGAGAAGATATCTTAGGACGGAATCGAGGAGACATTCTATTTTATACCAGGAGAAAATGATGTCTTTACATTAGAAAACGATCAGTCATGCAACTCGACTGTTACTTCGGGGGGCAGACGCGGCACGCGATCCTTCGTTAGTTCTACTTCAATAGTGTGGCAAGCGTCTGGAATCGTCGTAAGACGCGAGTGATGAGGCGGCTTCAGCGACGGGCGATATTAAATATTCAAAGACGTCAAATCGAGTCCACATTATCCTTTTATTCCACAGGGGCGCTTCGCGCCTCCTTTGAAGCTCCCACGCCTCGTTGCACCTCCCCGAGTCGCGAATCGACGGATCCCTTTTTCGTACGAACGAATCGAAAATATTTGTCGCCACGAGGATCAACAAAATCCGTGTCCTTAGTCGGGCGTTGCTCCACATGTCTTCCGCGATTCCGCGCGAACTTCTTCCCTTTTCATTTTCATAGTCATTCTTTCATCCTCACTCTCGTGTGAAAACACGGCACAAGTACACAAACTCAAATTACTTTCGATATATAAGATAAACAAAAAAAAATATATCAAAAATCGATAAGTTACGTTGCATGCGAAGGATCCAATTTTACATAAATTTCACGGCGAGAATACTCGTGACAGATAACGATATATTATAAACTTTCACGCTTACGGAATAATCGCCACAATTATCGTTTAAATACGTGTCGGCGGCTGAGAGGCATCGTTCGACCATATTGCACGCAAAGCCCCAAATAGCGCCGTAATTACCTAGCTGTCTCATTCTTATTATTCAGTGTTTCCTTCCGTCGAAAGACACGACAGCGCCGGCGGTATCCCAGGTATAATCGAGACTCGCATACAATCTTATAAGCCACGACGCGTTCCTTTATAACCGTTTCTTCCTTCTCCGATGCCCTTCTCCGCCTCTATCGTCGGTCGAAAGGTGCGTCCGTAGGAGGGCGATCCGTTAAATTATACTTAATATCTATGCGGCACGGTTCTCACTTATCCCTCATCCAAAACACATGGTACGCATCAAGATCTCATCATCTCGTTTGAGGGGAACGAAACGCACGGCCCGTCACCTCTTCTCCATATGGGATTCGAGTAACATCTCACTTGGCCGTAAAAATCCGTATGTTCTTTTGTTCCATGAAATCGGCTTAACTACAGCTTTATTCCGTATAAAACAGCGAGCGGAGACGTCAAAGAAAAATGTTGAATTTACAAAGACTACGCTACACGCATGGTTCTGCTGATTTCACTTCGAAAAGAGGCATTAAATTTCAATGTAAATGGTTTCCAAGGTATGATTATATATTTATATATATGTGATTTAAAAGAATATTAGAATAAAAGATTTTATATATATATAAAATCTTTATTATTTTATATATATATATATATATATATATATATCTTGATTTTTAAGAAAGTATAAAAGAAAGAAAAGAATGAATTTCTCGTACAGTTAGTAGAAAAATTCAAATTATTAAAAAAATTCGAATTATTGTAGAACAGATCTGACAATAATTTTTTTATTAACTGGAGGATTAAACGATATTGTAAAATGGCACTACGCTTAATGATGTTCTTCTGATTTCTCATCCATGATTAATGAATTGGAGTTCGTAGGCATCTTGTGTGCGTACAACTTTAGCTGATTCCTTGGTCGATTATGAACCCGGCGCAATTCTCGCATTCTCGCCCAATTACTCTCGCAGCTTAGATCGCATTCCGTTCTAATCCATGAAATACTTGCTCGGTCTAGAGCGTCTTTGATAAACGATTGCGGTGCAAGAGCATCTGTACTGTTCGACAAATGAAACTTAGAGAAATCGAAATGGCATGATGCATCGTTATTTACTCTTACTTTTTCCTTTCAAATTGCATTTTAAAACACAATTTCGGAAACACTTCCATGTTGAAGTTAATAAAACGATATATATAATAAGAATTGCGTCGTTCATTTTTTTTAATATACGTAATATTCTTTTAATATTTTTATCTTTTAATATAATATTTTTAATATGCATAATATTCTTTAATTAGTTAACAGACGCATCAATTAACTCGTTAATATTATTATTATATATTCATTATTCGTGATAGTAAATCCATATTTCTCCAAGAAATCGTACGCAATTAGAGTAGTGGAAAACAAAGCGTCGCGTTCACGTCCGCTAATTTTAGTACGGGACCGTAATATGCGTCTGCGGTCGATTAGGACGCGCTGTTGCACTGGCCAGCAAAGCCTGTGTAAAACGCGTCTCGCAGTCCGCATTCCGTTCTGATCCACAGAATATTCAGTCAGGTAAAGCGTCTTTGATAGAACACCTCTTTGGTACGGGTGACAACGGGCGTTGTGCGGAAGGTGAAGTACGGGAAGGGGGATGGGAAGGAGACCACGAGAAGGTGCATGAGAAAGAGAAGGTACGGGAAGGGATGGCAGGGGGGGAGGGGAGGAG